ATCTATCTATCTATCTATCTATCTATCTATCTATCTATCTATCTATCTATCTATCTATCTATCTATCTATCTATCTATCTATCTATCTATCTATCATCATCCCCCACTTCAACCCTAACCAGAGAAATATTACCTGGCTGTTGGTTCTGGTTTAGTTACATCCAGTTTAGACTGTAATATATTTTATATAGACTTGCCTTTGAAGTCAAACTATGTATTTTATCCTTCCTTCAGGAATTATGAAGGTATTATTTATGTTTATTGCTAAACATGTACTGTACTTTGAAATGGCATTTTATCTACATTAATTTTATTGAACATTGTTTATATGTAATAAGGACACACTAGTTATTTGTCGTGGAATACAACCTTTACCCACGTAAAGGGTGAGCAGGTTGATGATTTAAAGTGGACAGGGCTAAATTTTTCCATGGGGTTACTTGGTAGGACTTTGCATGTGAAATTGCCCACCACTTCAATTTTCAACTGATGAAGGACCGCTTGCTGAATTTTGACTGCATGTTTCAGGGGTGGGGTAGAAGAACAGATCCAGGGATGTAAGTGATAGTACAGGTGGCTGTCCCCTGATAATTATCTTGCCCTTATAGATTCCTTGAGAAGATTGTGCTTTGAAACATTACAGGTAGATCTCAATCAATCAATTAAACATTTAAGAACATAAAAGAACATTGTTTGTGGCAATTACACCTTCTCCCTCTTTATATAATCATGATTAGCTAAATGTTTAATTTACTTCCAACTGGGAATGTACTTGAATTCAAATAAGAATTCAGCTCAAGTAGGAAAAGCAGTATCATTTCAACAAACTTTAAAAATTTGAACTAAAAGAATAAATTATATTAGTGGTTGCATTTTACTTAGTGTGTTTCTTGAATTGGAAAAGTTACTGTGTTGTTATTGGAAAATGCCGCCTTCTGCCTGTAGCTGCAGCAAGGATTTCTATTCTACTCTACAGCTTCTGGTTGCAACACTGCATAGTAGTCTGTCTTCTCAAAGAGAAAGATTGCTGTGATGTTTTAATAATGGGGAAAACCAATAAAAATGTTTTATTTAGACCACATTTACATTTTCTTCCTTCTGTATGAATTACCTGAAGTATGCTAGAAATCCTAATAGATTCTTAGTGCATACGTTGAAGATGTTCTGCAATAAAGTTGTGTGTCACTTGATGATGAACACAGGAAGTAAAGTAAGGCTATGACAATATATTTCACAACAGATATTAATTTTAATGAGTATTATGTGCTGCACACTTCAAAAAAAAGATGGTTAATGGTTTTTTTTTTTTTTTTGGCATGTAAGAAGGAACATTTCCCCTATTTGTGTAGAGGTTGGCTTGTTTCTCTTGGGGGAGCATGTAAATCCCATCACAGCACATAAATACTAGACATCTAGTCTTTGTTTACCTCAGTTCAGCACTAATCAAATGGTCTTTTCCTGCTGAAACACACAGCTTTCAGGAGAGGAGGAGAAGGATAAGATAACAGTGATTCCCTCCAACCCAAAATCACTATTAGTTATTTTGGATTAGGAATCTGAGTTGCTGTTGCTTTACTACTATAACTATCTGCTTTCCCCTTTCCAAACACCTTGAGAGTAGCCATACTGCACCATTGATTATGCAGTATTCAGCTTTATTATTTTCTAACCTGTGTCTTTATTGGACACTTCTAACGGAGGTATGAAAAATGTTTGCAGGAATTGGGTATGGCCATTCTAGAGAAAAGAAGGACTAGGGCAGTGATGGTGAACCTATGGCACGCGTGCCAGAGGTGGCACGCGGAACCATTTGGCTGAGTTTGTCCTTTTTTAAAGCTATTTTTTCACCCTCCCCAGGCTCCAGAGGCTTTATAGGAACCTGGGGAGGACGAAAAGAGTCTCCCCACGCCCCCGGAGGCCTTCTGGAGGCTTCATGAGCTTCCCTGAAGCCTCCGGAGCACAAAAAAACTAGCCCTACAGGCAAACCGTAAGTTCGGGAACGAACTTCCGGTTTGCTTGGAGGGTTGTTTTGACTGCTCCAGAAGCCTCCTGAAGATCCCTGAAGCCTTCGGAGCACCCAAAACGACCCTCTGAGTAACCGGAAGTGACTTCCTGTTTGCTCGGAGGGTCATTTCGACTGCTCTGGAGGTTTCAGGAACCTTCAGGAGGCTTCTCTGAAGCCTTCGGAGTGCTCAAAACGACCCTCTGAGCAAACCGGAAGTGACTTCCGGTTTGCTCGGAGGGTCGTTTTGACTGCTCTGGAGGCTTCAGAGAAGCCTCCTGAAGGTTCCTGAAGCCTCCGGAGGGCGTCTGGGGGGGAGGGGGCGGGGGAGGATGTTTTCGCCCTCTCCAGGTTCCTGTAAAGCCTCTGGAGCCTGGGGAGGCCGAAAAAAGCATGCAAAAAATGACATGGAGCTCCATGTGCACTGGGACGGTCACACATTGCATTATGGGTGTGGCACGTCCGCACACGACCCCCCTGCGCTCCGTCCACTTATGGCACGTGAGCCAAAAAAGGTTCGCCATCACTGGACTAGGGGTAACAGCAGTATTTGAGGGGCTGCCCCAAAGAAGAGGGAGTCAACCTATTTTTCCAAAGTACAAGAGGCAGTGGATGGAAACTAATCAAGGAGAGAAGCAACTTGGAATTAAGGAGAAACTTCCTAACAGTGAGGACAATTAGCCAATAGTACAGCTTGCCTTCAGAAGTTGTAGGTGCTTCATCACTGGAGGTTTTTAAGAAAAGACTGGACAACCACCTATTTGAAATGGTATATGGCAGGGCCCGGCTTGCGGGCTCGATACATCATGTACTGGGCATGCCATGCCCAGTTTAGTGAAGGGGAAATAAGTCATGTGATGCTGCTGTGACGACCTGAGTTTGACACGTTTGGTATAGGGTCCCCTGCTTGAGCAGGTGGTTGGACTAGAAGACATCCAAGGTCCCTTACAGTTGTATTTTGATTGATTGATTGGTATTAATTTTAGTCTGAATTGAGTAGGTATGTAGTCTCATACCTCATTTATCTTGGAATGTTGTATTGCTTGCTTTGGTATTGTTTTGGTCTCTTGCAGACACCAAAAGGCTTATTAGATACTCACTGCATGTGCATTATGAGTTGGCAAAAAAAATATACATTTTTTTTTGCAAAGCAGTCCCCAACAATTAAAATTCAGCAAACTGTTGGAGGGAGGCAAAGGCTCTCCTATTAAAAGTATATGAAACTCCTCATATGGCTTCTGATCTGCAAGTTCTGCCCCTCAGAGATGTTTCATTTTATGTGCTTGCCAGAGTTGCTGGGAGTCAGGTGGCATATACATTTAGTTAATTAAAAAATAACAATAATAATAGAAATAGTTTTCTCTTTTAAAACATTTTTCTAAATGGGCTTTTTTTAAATATTAAAAAGTAGATTTGAGACAAAAACAAGTTACTTTTAAGAGCTTTCAAAATTGTGGCTGGAATTGGCAATCTTCTGTAAACTGGCTCGCAACTGGTTCTGTTGGGACTCATAGACCAGCTGGGAACCCTACTAGAAAAGTTCTATCAAACATTTGCTCAGCATTTCATTGATGCATTTTAAAACTTGTGCTTTTTATTGTTGGTAGGAAAATTTAGAGAAGAAGGGATCCCATGTGCTTGATCTGGAGCTGGAGTTCGATGAACAGGCTGTCCTGCGGGAGAATATAGTCTATTTGACGAATTCCTTAGAGGTGAGCATTTGCTAGGAAAGCTTTAATGATATTCAGCTCTTGGTAAGATTCATTGTTGCTGAAAAATCTCTACATCATTGTCTTTCAATCTTGCTAACTAAGATGTGTGGACAATTCCCAGGATTTCCCAACCAGCATGCTGGCTGTAGAATTCTGGGAGTCCACACCTCTTAAAAGCTGCAAAGGTGGAGAAACACTGCTCAATATCCATTGCCTGTTTATCTTCAACCCCTAGCTAGTTATACAAAGTCTATCTATAAGGTGTGTGTGTACATGCACGTGTACATATGTGTCCTATGCACATGGGTCTGTAAAAGAAAACTCCATATTTATTTTTCATTTTGAGTCACAATAACAATCCAACTGTAGGGATATGCAATATTGAAAAATTGGCTTCAGGTAGGTGGCCATCCTTGATAAATCAATGGGTGCCTCTTCAAAGAAGCCACATCTTTTCCCAGACTTGTACAATAGCTACCCATCCCAGGAAAATACAGCTTTGAATTAAGGTGGAACAGCTGGTGCAATCATCTTGCTGTGTCCTGCCAATGACTGCTTAATGCAAGTATATGTTTTTGAGAAGTTGCATAGCTACCTCATATCAAACTCAGGAAAAGATGTGGCTTCTTTAAAGAGCCATCTGTATGTTTGCCTAGTGTGCTGTTGTCTCCTCTGAAGCACCTTTTCCAGTTCTTATCTGAATAGCTTCCTAATCCAATCAAATCCTGTATAATGCTGGCAAATGAAAAATATTTAGTGGAAGAATTCATCCAGAATTAGAGCCCTGAAATCAATATTAATGATCTTCTGTAAGTGAAACCAGCGTATAATTAACATGTTCCTTTCCTATTATCGCCTGGACAGATGTATGTTTTACCCTATTGAGATTGTTGTTTTCCCCCAAGTTGAGAAAATTATTGGAAGTTCTCAGTCTTTTTTGGGCAGTGTTTATTCCTTCTCTAAATTTAATGATTCTTACTATAAATAGAAATTGCCGCTTCTAACTGATTTTAGTGGGGGTATATTTATTTGAATTTTTTAGCTGCCCAATTTAGAAAAATTCAGATGCAAATGACTATGATTACAGTTAGTATATTTATTTCAATAACTCTGTTGATTATGTTATTTGTTGTGAGAAAAAAAAACACCTAGTTTTTTTAATGAGATTTGAACAGTTACTTTGAAGAAAGTAAAGGCTTTGATGTGTGAAAAAAATAATGGAATGTTGGAATCTGACGTGTGCAATAGTCACTGAAGCAATAAAACATCTTATAACTTTGAAACTGCCAAACTTGCCCAAAATGGAACACTTCCTGGCTCAGACCTCTGAACTTGAGATCCATTTAAATCTATAGAGAAAAAGAATCAAAGCTGTGGAATTTTTAAAAATAAGAACTGATTAATCAGTCACAAAAAATGATTTTATTTAACAATGAAACACTTTGTTTGATACAATTGAGCTTTCTTATTAATATGTTTGAAGTGATTTTTAAAAACGATTTCCCCATTTTCTTCTAAAGCTGGAACATATAGAATTAAAATTTGCCTCTGAAGGAGATGAGAAAATTAAAGAAGATTGCTGCCCTGGAAAGCCGTTTTGCATATTCAGAGTAGAAGTAAGTTTGGGGTTTTTTTTTTTGTTTCTTCTTTTGTCCCTGCAGGAATGTTATTCCCAATGGTTTGTTGTTTTCTGTGAGAGCTTTACTTTTATATTAGACTTCATCAAACTTCTGCTTCCATCATTCCTATTTCGTACCCAGCTAAACCCCTGGCAAGTCTGAGTGTCTTTGGGTTTAAGGTTTTCTGTATCTGGGGATTCATCATCTTTGCTACTGGATGGGGTTGCATTCCTCCAGACAGACTCGGTGCACATTCTGTGGGTTCTTCTGGATTCATGGCTCCTGTTCAAAGAACACATGGCAGTTGTGGCCAGGAATGCTTTTGGCTCAGCTTTGTGTTCTGCTCCCGTTTGGAAGTTTGGAAGTTTATTAGCATTTGTATGCCGCCCACTCCCAGGGGGACTCTGGGCGGCTTACAGACAACAAGGGAATATAAAAATTAAAAATAGAAATACGGTTATTTAAAATTACACAACATACATACCACTTAAAATGGGGCTGGATGCTGATCAACAGCCCCAGGCCTGCTGGAACAGCCAGGTCTTAGTAGCTTTACGGAAGGCCGGAAGAATAGTGGGGAGATCATTCCATAGGGCCAGGGCAGCAACAGAGAAGGCCCTCCCCCGGGGGGGTCACCAGCTGACATTGACCCGCCGATGGCACCCGGAGGAGGCCCAATCTGTGTGATCTTATCGGTCTTTGGAAGGCAAATGGCAGGAGGCGATCTCTCAGGTAACCAGGTCCTAAACCATGTAGGGCTTTAAAAGTAACGACTAGGTCTATTGTCAGACACTCATGTCCTAGTCACCTCCTGATTGCACAATTGTAGTGCTGTCTACATGGGGCTTCCCTTGAAGAGTATCTAGGCACTTCAGCCAGTGCCAAATGTGGTGGCATGGGCAGTTAGGTGCATTCCAAAAATTGCAGACGTTATACCTCTGCTGAATAAGTTGCGCTGTTTGCATTGTTTGTAAAGGGGTCCAATTCAAAGTACAGGATCATATTATGGGTCCTGTCAGCTAGGGAGTTTGATCAGGTGGCACCTTTTCTGCTTTGTCCTCCACTATAGAATATCATTCCTCCTGAGGCGAAGCTGGCCTTCCAGGAAGCTCTTAAAAATGCTTCTGTCAACTAATTTAGACATCCTATGATAGAGTAGAGCCTGCTAGTCTGCATTCTTTCTAAGTGTTGCACTTGGTTTTAATTTTTTTTATTCCTTTTATGTAAATTGATTGTCTTTAATGTTTTTATAAAATATATTTTGATTCTGTGAGTCTTTTATACCCTTTGATCTCCCGTGACTCTGTAAGATTAAAATGGTATACAAATGTGATAAATAATAATAAAATAAAATAAAATCCTAGTGGGTGTTGTAAGAATTGATCCACAATCTGCAAGTCATCAGTTGAACAGAACATATTTAGGAACATGATGGTAGGTAAGGCTGGCTAAGGCTGCTCCTGTGATTTACTTAAGTATCTGTTTTTGGTTGTTATAGAAAGTTGCTGCTTCCTACTTACCGTATTTTTGGAGTATAAAAAGAGGGTGAAAATCTGGGTATGTCTTATACACTGAATACAGCATTTTTGGCCTACCGAAACCCCACCCCCTTTGCAAAGATAGACGCGGAGGGGATTTGGGAGACTTGCAAAGTGCTTCTGAGGGCTGGGGAGGGCAAAAAAAGAGAGAACAAAAATTGTGCCGTTCTTGCCCCTCCCTCCCAGGAGCTCCCAGGAGCACTCTACAAGCCTCCCAAAGCCTCTGCATGCCCCCACTTTTTTGTGTGCAAAAAACAAGACATGCAGAGGGTTTGGGAGGCCTGCAGAACGCAAAGACTTTTTTAAAAAAAATTACCTCTTCAAAATCATGGTGCATCTTATACTCCGAAAAATACCTTACATCCATAGAATTGACTAGAAGTCTCTGAGAACTGAGCCTCCCTTAGAAGAGTCACCCCTTGAATTAAATGTTTCTCTTCTCCAAGCTACAATTGTGTCATTCTCTACTGAGATTGCTTTGTGTAGGGCTTGACAAATGATGTGTGAAGTGACTACAGAGAACTTCTCTATAGCATATAAAGACTGGAAGGTGAGACAGCTTATCTGTGTATTCTTACTTGCTCAATTATTAATGGTAATAGTGCATTGGGGCTTTTTCCTCTCTTGCTATAATATTATTACTTTAATTCATGTTTAATTTTAATTGTGAACGTTGTCTGGATAATAACAGTCCTAGAATTAAAAAGAATACAAGTGACAACTCTAAGCATAATGAGGAGTTTCAGATGCTTTCTGTGTTTATATATTATATCCCTGCTCAACAGTAACTGGTTGCATATCCACCTTCTATCACAATATTTAGTTTTGCTTTGTTCCAGAATATGGAATTACTGGCTAGGTTTTAGATCAATTACCATATATAATTAAATACTTCACCTCATAATTTGTAAAGTATATTGAATGAAAATGCTGGAATATTTCTGAACAGCACAAACTCGAGCTGTTTCAGGACACGGCGTATTACTTTATTGTGTGGGTAGAAAGACTGAGCATTTGGCTGTATTAATTATCCTTTTGTGACAGCTTTGGTCAAGGCTGCTGAATTTCTTACATGTACCACATTTTTGAATTGGATTCGGTGGCAGTTTCTTTTAATAAGAAGATTCTGTGCTTCAATCAAATGGGCAAATTGAACTGTTGAGTAGAGAGCAGTTTAGGAACCCCGAACTGCAATCTGATGCATGTCAAAAGCTTGGGAATGATAGAAGCCCTGGCAGGAAATTTGACAGCCCTCATTGAACAAAAAAAGATGGTGAATCACAGTTTGCAGTATGGGAAATAAAATCTTGGTGGAGAAGTGAATAGTGAACCTTTTTTATTTACTGCACAAGTTATGTTTATTTACTATTATATACAATAACTTATTTATTGTATCTCTTGAGCTTATTTCTGTGTCATCAGTGTACTGTTCTCATAATCTTGTGATTTTCCTGTTGTGTTTTCATTCTGCTCTATTATTATAAAGTTCTCTCTCTGATATTCTGGTTTCATTCTTTGCCCTAATGCTCTAGTTGATTCCAACCGATTCCCAACAAGTCTTAATCACTGCAGTTTTCTTTTCTTTTCTTTTGTATTTTTACAGTTGATTTTAGATTTTTTTTCTCTTTTTGTTTGGCAACATCTTAATTCAACAGTTGATAATTTGTTTGTTTGTTTGTTTGTTTATTAGGATTTATAGGCCGCCCTTTTCCCTGAGGGGACTCAGGGCAGCTTACAATCATTAGGGAGGGGGTGCAATTCAAAAATAAACAGTATGTGAACAAAGTAAAATAATAAAAACACAACTTGCATTCAACACTCAGCACTCGGGTGGGGCAAATTAGAAGCTTATCCCCAGGCCTGTTTCTTTTGTGTACCAGCTTTAACCTACTTCCTTTGCATACCAATTCATTCTGTTATCTGCACTATACTATTTTCTCTGTTAGCATGACTTATTTTTCTATCCATCTATCTGTTATATTATCCCTATTAAGATCCCCTCCACCAGTCTTCCTTGATTTGACTGTCATCTTGTTCTCCTCTTCTCATAATTTATCACAGCTGTGTATCTTGTCATAGACATGACTCACTGATTTTGGTGTTAGCATCCACATTAGGGTGCCTCCTCCCCCTTTGTCCCTTATTCTGGTGCTGCTCTTTGCTGCTTTGTCTTTTGGTAAGAAGATCATATGCTGAAGGAGGGGAAGGGCAACTATTTTTCTACCCTAGTCTTGCCCCTCTAAAAGTTTTCCCCTCTTGGGACCCAGATCATCACTTCTAACTATCCTATTCCTCTTGGTTACTTATCAAGTCTCTTCCTTTGCACTATTCCCCCATTTCATTGTCTTTTTGGGTACAATTTTATTAAAAGTGTTAATTTCAATTAAAATTAAAGCAAAAATTAATGCAAACTAAAATAGATTAAGAAGGAAAAAAGAGCAAGGAATGAATGAATGAAAAAAGAGCAATGAAAAAGCTAAAGTACAGAATGAAAAAATGGCAGAAGAAAAATGGCAAAGAAAGAAAAAAGATATAAAGGAGTGCCTTTGATTTCCTTTACAGTAATTATACATACAATTGTAAATGTATTTCTTTCTCTAAAGCATGGGCATCCAACACTTTGGCTTGGGTCACATAGCGTGAAGAGGAATTGTTTTCAGATGCATACAAAATATATAATACAGTTTTATAATGTAAAATGACATAATAACATTAAAAGTTTATGATCTTGTGGGGTTGCATTACTAGCTGTGGGCCGCTGGTTGGACACACCTGTTCTAAAGTTATATTATGACTCTCTTCTTTCTATAATATATCTAATTGTCAAAATCATACATCATGTTCATTTCCCCCCTGTTTTATGCAAGAAGTCCATAAGGGGTTTCCAGTCAACAATTAAATGTAGATACTGGCTTTTTTCCTAATCAGGCAGTCATTTTGGCCATCTCAGCAAGTTCTATCATCTTTACCAACCAATCATAGGTATTGCCAGTTCTTTCCATCTTTGTCCATACAGTAATCTTGTTGCCTTATCAAAAGTTCCATGATTCCCCCCCTCCCCACTGTTTATCCATCAGTTCTGTAAGAATATCACCACCACAATAGCATATCTGAGTATAATGCAGAACATGGAAAATCTGACAACTGTGTCAGAAATGAGTGCAGATAATTTATAGATAATAGAAGAAATTATTGTGTATGTGTAGCACAATTGGAAACCAGACTTATTGATGAGATGCTAGGTATAAGCCTGTGTATTCTGTGTCCCCAGTTGACTTTGAAAAATCCATGCAAAATACAGATTAAAAAAAAACTTTCTTTACAGCCTGGTGTGTCTATCTGTCTAATAAACCCTCAACCAGCAAATGGACACTTTTCTACAAAGATTGAAGTCAGGCAAGGGGATGGCCGAGATGCAATAATAAGACGCTTAGTGAAGATGAACAGAGGAATTAAAGGTAAGATGTGGACTCAGGTTCAAGTTTTTATTTCAGACAGATTTTAGATTTTTTTAAAAGAAGAAATAGAACACATCTCTGGTCTCCACAAGCCTACAGCACTATATCTAAATCTCTTGTCTAAGACCAACTGAAGCTCAATCCCTTATGATCTGGACTTGAAGGAGTTTGTGTTGAGGTTCTGATACGTGGAGGAGCTGGTTTCAAAACTCCAGATGTGCAATTGGTACTACTGGTGATAATTATTGGCTTTCAGCAGATTTATAATTTCAGTGTGAGTGATGCATTAATTTAGTCATATGTGTCTTGAGTTACCCCTTCTGCTCATTTCATACTTTTGTAATGATTGAACTTTTAAGTCTTACCTTTCTGGAGATATGCTAGAAGTAAGAAGTATTCACTCTATTTATCTCAAAGCAATAGACCATAATGTCTTGCAATGTTAAGGAAAAAAGCAAATGGACTTCCTCACTCAATAGCCAGAAATGATACTCAGTGTTGTGGTGAAAAAGTAGTTCTTTCTAGCTTGCCAAAAGGAAATTAAGTTAGTAGAAACCAAATATGTTAAATTTAATATATTTTATTAGTGAAGATGAAATCACATTTGTAATTTTAGATTATAGTAAAACAATGTTGTATTTTTCAAATAGAAAATGCTTCCAAATCACTGTTGTAACAAGAATTGTCTTGAACTTCTGAATATAGAAATTGCTTCATTATCATTACATTATTTTCCTTATTCTAAAGCTTAAATTTGGATACATGTGGTTAAATATAGACTGAAACTAAAATGCATATTAACATCAGTATGATTATTAAATGCTGCTAATCCTGGTAAAAATATTAAGAAGAGTTTTTTTAAAGGTCCTTTGGTTTAGGAAACCTCTATGGCAAAAGAGGTGCAGTGGCAGATGGATAGTTCTGACTGACAATAAATTTATGTGGTGAGTGATGAGGCAATATAGTGTAGTGGTTACGATGCCAGCCAACATGCAGAGATCCAGGTTCTAGTCTACCCTTAGATATAGAAGCTCACAGAGTGATTTAGGGCAAGTCAATCAGCTCATTTGTACCTCACAACCTTCTTGTTTTGGTGAAAGATAGGGGAGGGAGAGGGAAGTGTTTGACTCCTTTGGCAGTTGAACAAAAAAGAAAAATAGAAATCTAGCAAATAAGCCATCAGATAAAATGTTTGTGGGGAGCATAATTCATTTCATTTCATTTTATTTGTCTTGTATGCCGCCCACTCCCGGAGGAGTCCGGGCGGCTCACAACAGACAAGGGAAGGGGGATAAATAGACAAAGACAACACTTTAAAAAAGACGCAACATTCACAATTTCTGTGGGGCTGGATGTTTCACAATTTCTGTGGGGC